AAGGGGGGGAAAAAAAAAAAAAAAAAAAAAAAAAAAAAATGAGGCCACAAGATTCTGTCTAAATATCTTTTTTATATGACATACTTAATAAAAAGTAAACACTGTTGCATGAGTTGTAGTCAGTGCACTGAAGATTACAGATCGACAGATGTTGTTGTCTAGTCTAGAGCAGAGTTCTTGAGCCTTTTTCAGGCCAAGAATGTGGTTCTTGATGGATGCTTATAGTACTATAATACTCTATTTGCATGCTTTATTATGATATTCAAAACCATTAAAAATCATCGGTTTTGATGGACAGAAGACTTGTACATTGTAATGGAGGGACAATGACACAATTAGATGAAAACTTTAGCTGTATTCTTATCTTTAACTTAATATTGTAATGCATTTGAATGCATATTTCTATTCTTCTGTTGTTGTTTTTCATGCAAATTAGTTTGGGATCAAACAATAATTGGAGGACCCTGGTCTAGAGATTGTTTCAGTGCAATACAGATTCTGTATTGTGCATATCCATGAACTTTAGCAACTGCACAGCAGGCTATAGGCTACATTCCATTCCATTTTCCAAATGGACAGAATGCAACTTAGGTCTCCAGATTTGATTTCTGAATTAAACTTGACAGTGGTTAGATCCTAACATTGGCTGTTACTGTGGTAACTTACTCCCCCATACACATCTGAAGAACCATGTGCATAACCTAATCTCATAAAGCAGGGTTAAAGTCGAGCACTGTGAGCTTTACACGACGCTGCCAAATTAAAGGAAGCAAGCTGCATTATAAAACCCACTCTGCACAAAAGCACATGCACTGCACTCCGTCTTCAAACAGGGATTCTGTAAATATTTAGGGCAGTATCTGTAGGCTTTTAAACAAGAGTAGGTGGTCTGAAGAAACCGACTGTTTGTGCTTTGTTACATGTTTTCTGGCATGGCTGATCAAAGTCTTTTAGATACGCTCATTTTTATGGTTTGCTCTCGACATAATGAACTGTTTGAATAGCTGTACTTGCTGCACTGTTGTTCAAACGGCAGATTTTATGAATCTAAAAATCACTGGCCTCCTGTTAAAAATCGAACACAGTGTTTCGGTAGATCAGTCAAGAATCACAACGCAAGCACCGCTAGTATCACAACTGTGAAGACAGAGAGAGAGAGAAATAACACACACACACACACACGGTGTTCTTGTTAAAATGCATCATTCCTGTTGTAATGGTTGAACTTGCTCCAGCGGAACTAAGTCCAAGAAATGACTAAATGAGTTTAGCTGTGGATTCAGTGATGACGTTGTTTTCTGAGACCTTTTTCAAGCACTTGTGACTGTTATTAGTGCAGTTTCTCTGTTCTCAAATTAATTGTTTAAAATCCCATTTGTGGAGTTGTACGGTGATTGCAATGAAGATATACTTTTTTTTCAATATAGCTATGTAAGCTCAATTTTGTATGTTGTTGCATTCTGAAACATGCATTTCTTGCACTTTTAGTTCAGCTACTGTCTTAGTGGAGCAACACTTTGAAGCAAATGTTGCTGAGAATGCTAGTAGAAGTAGAAATGTTTGTAACAAGCTACTTGAATAATAACGCATATAGTGCAATGACACAGACATTTGAAGGAAACTTTGTCGCCCCCTTGAGTACGGAGGTCTGTAACAGGACCACATACTTGCAAATCATTGACCAAGCATTCTGCCTTCGAGAACTTGCGTAAAGTATGTTTCTGACCTACATGTCAATGACATTTTAATGGTATCCAGTTTAATTATTGAAAGCAAGGTGACAATGGGGAGTCAAACATCTTTCATTGAAGTCTTGCTTTTCTCTTCTGCTTCCTCAAATTCCCCGCCTGCCCACCAGAGACATCATGATTCCTGGTAATCGAATGCTGATGGTCATTTTATTATGCCAAGTCCTACTGGGAGAGAGCAGCAATGCTAGTCTAATACCCGAGGAAGGGAAGAAGAAAGCGTCGGCTCAGCACCTGGGTCAGAGTCATGAACTGCTGCGGGACTTTGAAGCCACGCTGCTGCACATGTTTGGGCTGCAGAAGCGACCGCGACCCAGCTATTCGGCTGTGGTGCCCCAATATCTGCTGGACCTGTATCGCCTGCAGTCAGGGGAGGCCGAAGAGACCGGAGCCCACGACGTGAGCTTCGATTATCCCGAAAGGTCCACGAGTCGAGCAAACACTGTGAGAGGATTCCATCATGAAGGTAAGACAGCGGAGACATTGACACATGACAAATTCAGACTCAACCCAACATTTAAAAAGTCTCTGCGCCACCATACTTTGTCATGCGGATCCTGTCGAGGGACTTTCCTTAACATGCAATTATTTTTAATGCTACCCTACGGATTTCTAAATAAACACCGCAGTGTGGTCTCTAAGGCAGACAGAATTCCTAGAAGGCTTCAGAAAAATACACATTTAGTATCAAGAAGATAGAAGTCCATCAGCGTGATTCAACAGTTTATTCCCTGTTATTTTACTTTTCTTTATTACCTGCATACTTAAATGAGTCAGAGTTGAGGCTACAATGAAAAATGGACAAGGAAAGGTGGAGTGGATACCACTGAAAATAAGAGTGTGGATTCAGAAAGGGTCACCAATCTTTAATTTAATTTAATGACAACAACTTTCAAACGTTCTGCATTGAAAATGATAGTTTGGACCAACTTTAAAAAAAAAAAATACAGCCACATTTATTAGTTTTTCTTTATTATGAAATTACATTTATGGTTTTTATTTTCCCAAAGACAAAAACAGTCATACAAAGTAAAAATATGATTTATTATAAAGTCCATATACCATACTTAACCATACTTTTTTTTCTCTTAACAACTGGTGAAAGCTGATAACACAGATTCATCCGGGTAACTGAAGTTGGCCCTATACTCTTGCTAGGAACAGTTTTTTATTGGTGGAAGCTTTGCAGTTATTTACAATATTATAGCTTCTGTTAAGAAGAAATAATCCACTACAATCTTTCCAGTTTCAATTGTTTTCAGTGGAGACTTTCCGTTGTAATCCTGAAGAATTATGATGCTGTTTTTACCACAATCATAATTGTAATTTGCGCTGTATAAAACGAGAGAATGAAAGTGATACGAGACACATGAAAGTAGATGTTGGAAATTTGTTACTCAGATGAGAGGGACATAATACATTGTTATCCTGAGTAATAATCATTATTCTGAGAAATCTGACTGCCACGACTGTCAAAACCAAGTATTTCAAAAAGCTGTGTAATAAACAATGAGTGAAATAACAGGAATTAATATAAAAATAATATCAAAAATGTATATCAATCTTGAAAATGCAGTGTATCCGCATAAATTACTTTGCAGCACTACATTGTATTGAATTTTATTGTAGTTATCGCAAGATATCATTTTAGTAGATAATTGTGTTATTAACGTGTTAAACGTTTACGTGTTGTGTTAAAATGACAGTGTTATTTATTTACAGTGCATTTTTATATAGGTCTAATTGAAAATCATGGTCTCCTTTTTTTCTGTTTTTATGAACACTCCTAAAAAAAATAGTTTAAGTAATATTTTAGTGTTGATGTGCATCACATTTTTTACAGTGAAATTAAGTTGTAAAAAGCCACACAAAAAAAAGAAAAGAAAAAATTATATTGATCTACAATAAGTAACAATTTGGCTTAACTATATTGATCAAATATATGGTCTTTATAATAAATAATCTTTTTACTTTATATCATTGTTTTTGTGTTTTGTGTAAGAAAAATATTTTTGATTAATATTAAATCCAACATTAAGGTTTGAACCATACCATTAATAGAATTTGATACATTTGAGTATCATTTTTTTCAGTCTACAGTTAATAAGAATCTGTTACTGTATCATTTCAAAATTTGGGTCATAATAGTGTATCTTCTACCAGTTTCTTGAGCTGTCCTCTGATTGTCCTCCTCTAGAGCACATGGAAGAGCTGCAGTCAGACGGCTCACCGGAGTCTCCTCTGCGCTTCGTCTTCAATCTCAGCAGCGTCCCAGAGGAAGAACTAATTTCTACTGCAGAGCTTCGTATCTACAGGCAACAGATACAGACCAATGTCCAAATATGTTAACAAATACCTATTTTATCAAATATGCAGAGTGTTCTAAAAAGACAAATTATAGTAATTAATACTGCAATTAATTACTTAAAATGTATTTTGAGTAACAATACGATCAATGGAATACATGTGAATAGTCATAAAGCCTGTCAAGAACATGATATAATACCCCCTGTTAATAACAATTGCATCCCACTTCTCACTATTTTAATGAAGTAAATAAATAGATAAATAAAAATGCAAAGGTATTTTACATTACACTAATGAATAACTAATCAGAATCATCACTTAGAATAAAAAAAGAAATAAAACAAAACAAAGCAGTGAGAATTTGGAGGGGAAATGTGCTTAACATCTTTTGAAAAGAATGCCACCATACAACTACTTTTATTTCTTTATATATATATATATATATATACAGACATTTCATTTTGGGGTGAAATGTAACCTGGACCTACATTTGAATAACAATGCACAAAAACAAGCTGACTGACTTGATCAGTGAAGTGAGAAATGAAAGTCTGTGATTCTCCTCAGCTGGCAAACACTAAAGCAATGAATACTGATAGTGGCTTAATAACAGCTGAAGGCATTTTACTCTAGATTCAGTGAAGATAAAGTTTGCATACCAAAGACTTCATGATGATGAGTGTCATTATTATTATAAATGGATATGTTTATGTATTAGAGGTCTGCACTGCAAAAAAAAACATAGCGGTACATGTTAATAGTATGCGAATGCAATCATACCTAAATGAATGAGTTTTTAACTAGTAATAGTATCAGCATGTGGCCAGTGGAGTCCAGCAGACGCAGCTCACACCTGTCCTCGTCCAGGTGCGTCTGTGATCCGCACAATAGCGGCTAGACTGCGTGACTCTCGCGCACCGCTGGGACTGAATGGGAGTGACACTTGCGTGGATCTGGAGACAACAAATCAGAGGTGAGACGGTGTGTCTCCATCAGCAGACTGAATACAGACGCCTGCCAGGCTCTAAATCGCTCATTTACTGCCCTTATTCCACGCTAACACCAACAGAAGCCCTTTGGATGGCCAATAAGCGTCGTTTGACATCAATGTCCGGTCATCATTCACTCTTTTGTTAAATGCTTTAAATCAAAAACCTCTGGTGCTACCTACAGCTTGCGTGAAAAGTCTTGTTAAAAATACTGTTAAGGATTTCTGTCATAACTTGGATTCAATCATAATGAGATCCAATAAGAATGACTAAGTGAAATGCCTTTTAATTCTTATTTGATTCTTAGACTTCCAGTTAGGGTTACATTTCCAGTAGTGTTCTTTAAAAATGATTCCAAATTATGATGGAATATCCAATCCTTTCTGGTCATTGTCAAAACATTGATTTTGATCTGAAGATTAAAATATATATATATCTAAACTAATATCAAATTTTTATGACAGGAATTAATCGATTAAAAAAAATAATAAATGTTGGCTATATTCTTTTTGCCTTTTGTTTCCCTTCTTGACTGATATAATTAACAGGAGCACACGCATACTGTCCATACATAAATAGTTACTTAATTGTAAATGCATTTAGATTTTGAAAAAAAATTAATAAATACAACTCTACCATAGAACAAAATCATAGTGATTTGACAGAAGAAGAAAAAGTTTTGGAACAAAGAATATTAGTTAAATAATTTGCAGTCACAGTGCGTGTGGAGAGATGAAGCGAGGACTCAAGTGCAGGATGAATGGTTCTCTTTTAACAAAACGAAACAAAAACGAGGGGGAAAAACAGACAGGCAGGCTAGGAACTGCACTACATGCAGACATAACACACAATGAAAAACGACAGATCAGCACAGGATTTCAGACACCAGGAAAATAAATAGGAAACCAAATGAGGAGGCTTGCGAGGGAGACACAGGTGGAGCAACTAGGGCACCAGGCTCTAGGAAGGCCTCCCGGCCTTGAAGGACGGACGAAGCCTTCTTCCCCCTCCTCCGTTTCCGAGAAGGTGGCACTGCAGCTTCGTCTGCCGCCTCCGGGGGCACTGCAGCCTCTTTGGCCACCACCGGGGGTGCTGCAGCTTCGTCGGCCGCCTCTGGGGGCTCTGCAACCTCTTCGGCCACCACTGGGGGCGCGGCAGCCTTGTCGGCCATCACGGGAGGCACTGCAGCCCCCTTAGGTGGGGAACGTGCCAAGAACTCCACAAACCCCTCAAAGGATACATGATCGCATCCTGACATACTCCGGTGACTAATGGGCTCATCAAGGGCATAACAGAATAAGTCCTTAAGTGTGGAGTCATTGTAGCCCAGCCCCTCTGCAGCATTCCTGAACTCCATGGCAAACTCACTCAGATCAGTCCCTCGTTGACGGAGGGAGCTCAAGGTATCCAGTTGGAGCATGCGCTGGTAGAGGGGGCTGGAGAGAGTGGAGACCGGTAGATGGAGTGAGCCATTTCTCCACTGAGTCCTCATGTTGGCTGATCCGTTCTGTCACGGTACGTGTGGAGAGATGAAGCGAGGACTCAAGTGCAGGATGAGTGGCAGGCAGGCTAGGAACTGCACTACATGCAGACATTACACACACAATGAAAAATGACAGATCAGCACAGGATTTCAGACACCAGGAAAATAAATAGGAAACCAAATGAGGAGGCTTGCGAGGGAGACACAGGTGGAGCAACTTAAACAATAATGAGGTAACAAGATGGGAGGGGCAAGACAATAGACAGGAGCCAGCACATGGCACCAAACAAACACAACAAGCCATGTGCTCACAGAAAACTGTGTCATCTGGTGGCCATCATGGGCACACTCGCTGAAGACTGTGACATTTGGTTTGGTGCAGTAATAGCTAGGATTCTGGTGATCTGATCATCAACTTTTTTTAAAGAATGCAACAGGGTTGGCACATGATTATGCGGCAAATTAGAAGGCACTCTGAATGTGGGTGATACAGCCAGAATTTACTCTTATATCTACTGTTAAAAAGAATAAAAAAGTAAAAGTATATGAAGTTTTGGAATAATGTACTTTGTAAGGTTATAACTTCATATTTAGGACTGGTTATGCTAAATATGATATAACAATCCATATGTTTTAACATATGGTGGTTCCCCCAAGTTCTCAAGAAATTATCAAAAAATAAAAAACATTTTCATGCACTGTGTTTCCTGAGAAGACCCATTTACAGCGATTAACATGTAAAAGAAGCAGCATCACATCTAATCTTTGAAGATAAAAAAAAGCCCACAACATTTGTCTTCTCTCTTTGTAAAGCTTTAGTCAAATTACCTCAGCCTGGAGGTACAGGCTTGCCACTCTTCCTTTGAAGACTATATCAGACACAGGTTTGTCAGATGAGGGAAGGTAGGAATTTCATTTTGAAGTGGCTTAGGGCAGAGGCTGAGCTTTTCCAAGTTTTCTTGGAGCAGATGCATATCGACTGGCCTCCCTCCATCAAGATAACATCACTCATATCACACCAGACCCTCACAGAAGGATGCGCAGAATCACCTGCTGCAGTTACAACAAAATAACCAACAACTTGGGTGCAATCTTTGAAAGTAGTATTTTTCAAATGTCTAATTGTGTACATATTTATTTGTATCACTCATCACATAGATGAGTCTCATCTAACGGGTATCTTTAAGGCCATTTTATGAAAGTCACTTGGTAGTTGGTTCAGATAAAGTAGGTTTGTTTTTGAGCAGGAGGTTTCTCTCTGTGCGGTCTGCAGCTCAGACTTGTTTCATCATGCACCCTCGCAGCAGCTCTTACTAAGCAGTGGATGTGTGGCTTGTTTTGATGGCAGGGGATCAGTTGGCTAATAACGGCTGATGTCAGTGCAGGTGGAGGTCAGATCCTCTTGTTTCACTCCCCCGCTCACTGCACCGTATTCATGCACGGCCCCAAGTGTACGGAGCAGGAGCCAAGCGGGTGACACTCTAGAAGCGGCTGCTTTGCATCTTTGCAACTGCAGGGTTATTCATGTCACACAGTCTCGGCCTGGTCCTTTGCTCTGGGGTCTGAGTTGCATCTGAGATCTGGATAATTCAGCTGCCAGCTAATGAGTGAACTGAGTGACCACTGCAAACAAAACCTAGTCTTTCTCTTGAAGGATCAAAAGCCATGACTCCCGACTCAGCATTTAAAAGCACTTAAAGGGATAGTTCATACAAAAATGAAAATGTGATATTTATCTGCTTACCCCCAGGGCATCCAAGATGTAGGTGACTTTGTTTCTTCAGTAGAACACATATGATGATTTTTTACTTTAACCGTTGCAGTCTATCAGTCGTATAATGGATGGCAATGGTAACAAAATCTATGAGAGTAAAAAAAACATGCACAGACAAATCCAAATTAAACCCTGCGGCTCGTGACGACACATTGATGTCCTAAGACACGAAACGATCGGTTTGTGCCAGAAACCGAACAGTATTTATATAATTTTTTACCTCTAATACACCACTATGTCCAACTGTCTTTGGGCGCGCACACGGCATCCGGTGCGTGAGGTGTGTACGCGCTCTGGCGTAGTTTAGACGGAAAAAGTGGTGTAAAGTTAAAACATCTTGATGGATTTGTTTCTTCCATACAAATAGTTTTTGTCTTCTCCAGATGTTAACTGATGGACTGGAGTGCTGTGTGGAGTATTCCTTTAAGACAGTCTAAGTTTATGCAAAAGTAATCCCAGATTTGTTTTCAAACGTTTTGATGCATAAAACCACAAATATAGCTATATATTTTCATGCAGACTAATTTATACTGTGCGAGAAAAATTAAACATGATATAAAAAAACAAGGTGTTTCCAAAATTAAATAATTCAGATTTGTTCCATATTTGTAAAGCACTTAAGATATCACAAAGGTTTGTTTTTATAGTTTTAGAAATTAAAAAGTATAACGGTAATCATATAAAAACAATTTCAAATGTGTTTAAAAAAAAAAAGATTGTTTTAAACATTTTATCCCAGACTCCAATTTGGAAATCCCTACTTTCGCAGAAATTTCACTAACATGATGGTATCCTT